GTGTGTGTGTGTGTGTGTGTGTGTGTGTGTGTATACACATATAGTCACCAGAAATCGTGCACATACTTAGTATCAATGCAGGAAACAAATAAGCAAGTTTCAGTTACCACTTGAGGAGAGAGCATTAGGAGGTAATTGTCAGACTAACAATAAATGTCACCCAGGGAGTGTGCTCCTGTCATGGCAAGATAACTCACAAAGGACATAATTCTATTCACTCACAAAGAAAGCAATACCAAAGCTGATACAAATGTGTAAAACATTCACATTTATATAATTTATTTGGGATAAATTCTTGAAAGGAATGCTATTTTAACACATGAATTTTTCCAAATTTTAGTGTTATTACAATTGGGGTAGACAATTACATATGCAAAGTCTGTTTTCATAGGGACAATTGTACTTTTGTATGACCTTTCTAAAGTAAGAAACATTGGGTTGGATTATATTTCTATAAGGCAAGTTTTTCTTTTTTCTTTCCTTCTTCCTTCCTTCCTTCCTTCCTTCCTTCCTTCCTTCCTTCCTCCCTTCCTTCCTTCCTTCCTTCCTTCCTTTCTTCTACCCATCCATCCATCCATCCATCACTCCTCATCTGAAGCTATTAAGGAAGGACACAGCAACATATATAATTATCTTTCTGACAGTGGAGATATTTGATCATATTCAGAGAATCTAAATGGGATATTGAAAGGATATCTTGCTTTTTGTTTTAAAATTAGTATGTGGGGGTGTGGAGGTGTGTGTCTGTGAGAGAGAGAGGTTTTGCTAGAGTCCTCTTGGATAGAAGAGCCTGGATTGGAAATATGTACATATATATACATTGGTAGCTTACCTGTCATCTGAAGGGCTTTCGTGTCTACTTCACAGGAAGTTGTAATATTCTATTGTCAAAAAATGTTTTGTGCAACTTATAGAAACCTTATGATAGTACAGCTTGTATGATCCAATAGAACTTTGATAAACTCTAGGATTAAAAAGAGAGGGGATATAAAGAAAGGTAGGTTTGGAGAAAGAAGAAAATGATAGTCTTTTGACAAGGAGTCAAATATTCAATTCACTGTATTTTTGAATTCCAACAAGCTTTGATCTCCTTAGCCCAGAAAATCCAGCAGGAAATTAAATGTGACCTAGGATACAAGCGGAAGGTTTGATATGCCCCTTCTCGTTTGTCATGCCCTTGTGGAAGGTGAGAATATGGGAGGCAAATTATTTGTATATTGCACTGAAAGGAAATAAAAAAATCATTACAAGCGAGTCGATTGGTTGACCTAATGTTGTTTGATTAGAAGTAATTTCCCTTTGGTTGTTTCTTTGCTTATAAATGCTTTTCCTTTGCATTTAACAATGAAAACTCTGTCAGGCATAGTCTGTAAGTAGCTTAATGTTTGGCCCTTATGTTCCTTAGGGACATGGCTTGTACCTCTCTTCTCTCGTGGGGCTGTGTTGTTGGCATATCCTAAACACTTGCATTTCACTCCTTGTTTTCAGAGAAACACTTCCTGAATTGTTTTTAATTGTTCAGTGTTTAAAGGTAAAAGGGATCAGGTATAGGGCTTCTCTGAGAGAATTTAACATTTTGTGTATTCATTTCTATGGTAGTTGAAATACATTAATATTAGCACAATCAGAAAGGGCCTTATATCAGACTCTGCTAGGTAACTTTAGATGTTTGTCACTGTGATCATGATTCATTTTTGGCACTGAGGATTATTCTTTCTATCACCAGTGAGCAGTAGAACAGACTGATTAAATGTTTAAATGATGTGTTTGGACCCCACCTAGAACAACAGTTGCTGTATTCCTGGGAATTTTACTGTAGTTAAATAGACAAAAGGAGAGTTAAGTCATCCCAAACACATGTTAGTCTGGACATGCCAAACTGAAAAGAATCTGAACTCCAGCAGCCAGTGCCATATGCACAACATAAGGACTGATTTAGTTTCACCAAAACATCATCACTTTATATTAAATTAATAGCATTCATTTTAATCTTAGCATTCATTTTTAATTTTGGCTTTCTATTTTTACTTTGTATATATGTCAGGCTTCTATAGTTGTATAAAACTCGAAGCATAAGAAAAGTCATTCCTAGTTTTATGTGGACACATGTAAATATGTGATGTAATGTAATGTAATACATTTTAGGTAATATTTAAGTAACATAATAAAATAAAACCTTTTAGAAGGGTTTTGTCCTTGAGTGATGTCAAAGATAAACACAGCGGGCATTACTTAAAGTGGTGAAAACAGTTTATGTGGTAACTGGCACTCAGGGAAAGAGCTGACCTCTTGTTGTTGTGCACATATTCTGATATGTGCAGAAGTGCCTGGATGATCAATAGTGAGACTGGAAGAAGGGAGAAAACAGTGGGAACCTGAACAGTCATGGAGGGGAAACACTGAGAAGGTAGGAAGGCAGTTGGTTCATATGTATCTGGGTTTGCTAACTGGCAGTAGTTGAAATTAGGTCCCTACCCTTCCACAGAAACCAGGAGACAGGGATCCCTATCTCGAGATGTGGGCAGGAACAAACAGTGAATTCTTTTGGCAGCTCTAAGTTTTCTTAGGCAGGCACTTTAAGGAAGACTAGGGTCATCCTGGGGATGTGGCCTTGAACTATTAGAAGTGTGTTAGTATTTATTCAAGTCTTTATAAGCCAAGGGTGAGGCCTAGTTGAGAAGAGAGCTCAAAGGAGCCTGGCGAGGGTTAGGCCAAGGAGAGACTCTTTGTCAGTGATAGTTCAGAGTGGCAATGTGCCCTCACTTTCTTGTGATAAACAGTGATTGTTATATATTAATTATTGTAAAGAGAGCTTGATTTTAAAATCTTAACTGAAAGAAAAACATGAAAAATTATGCTACTATGTTTCAGGGCCGAGACCTGGACTGTAAAATTCAGGAATATAAAGAAGCTGGAAAAACCTTTCCGGAAAGTCAGATAATCGAATGGTTTATCCAGCTGTTGCTAGGAGTTGACTACATGCATGAAAGGTATGTTCATTTGTTACTGAGGGACACGATTTTAACAGTCATGTCTGAACCTGAAAAATGAATTTTGGGGGGTAGAATGAAAGGAAGCAATCGTGAAAGGTAAATGACTGTAGTTAAACATCTGCAATATGCTTTTCCATGAAGAAACTGTTGAATGATTCAATATAAAAGATTTACTTGAATAGCCTTTTTTGTTGTTGTTCTAGAAATCAAGTTGGCCTTGAATACAAGACAGAAAGTTGTATTAAACACATTCTCATTTATCTGATCATCTCCTGTGTTTACAAGTGATTCTCAGATACCTTTAGCATGCTATGAATTTATTATATTTTACAACAGGCTTGAACTATAAATACCTAGCATGCTCTAAATCAACTTAGAATGTGTCAGTGCACAAGTTAGCTGTGTTCACATCCCAACATGAGCTGAGTAATTGAGGCAAAAGTTATTCTTGGGACTTAGAGAGATAAATATTTAGACCAAGTCAGTTTTGATGTGAAATATCTGATACAGAAGGTCAAAGTCTGTTTTATGAGTTCAGTTGTCTGTAACTTGCAATTATAATCTCTGCCTTAACATGTATTTTAAAACTTTTAATTATATTTCTTATATGTCAAAAGTAATAATTTTTGGGTGTTTTATAGATATACAAAATGGCATGACCACATTTGAAAAGAGGAACACACATAGACAAAAGCAGATACTCGGAGTTGTCCCTGTTAGCCTTCAACTTAGGACTGGGTGGAACATGTGATAACATTCTTGAACAAAGGTTGAAATTTATAGAATATATCAAGGTCTGGCTACCCATGGATGTCAGATAGCTCACATGTGTTTCCTATGGTTTCTGGATGCATAAAAAGTGACCAGATTATACTGAGCTTTGCCATGTATCTTCTAAACACATGCTCGACACTGAGTGTTGTATGGAAACCAATTTGACAATAAATTTCATAGGAGAAAAAAGAAAATACAGAAGTAGAAAACAAAACAAAAAGAAATAAACACATGCTCGATGATACAAATAGCTACTGATTTATTGACAACTCATAAAAATTTTCTGAATGATGTTAAACTTTCCTAAGAAACAATGATAAAAGAATATCAAATAATGTTTTAATAAACTACCCAAAGCTGCTGAATGTAGACATATGTGTATACAGTTGTATTGGTGTTTCTTTTCTTTTCTTTACTATTCCATGCATATTTGTTAGCTTATACATAAGGAAATATGTATATGTCACACATGTATATGTCATCTTCACATGTAAAAGTGACAACCTTTATGTTCTCTGTGCAAAATCTAAAACTGAAATCTGGTTGATTTATTAATCCAAATATTTGAAATATGTTTCGTGTGGTTACTAGTTAATGAGTTAATAGTAAATGAGTTTAAAATAGTCCTTCAAAGAGAGGATTTAAATTTTTTTAAAATCCTTCAACATTTTAAGAAAGTTATTAAATGGAGCTAAATGTTTGGATATTTGTGTGTCTGTGTTCCTGAAATACCATCCTTTGTGATTCAGATAACAAATTATGGTGTTTATTTATTGTTACCATAACCAACCATTGTAAAGTTTTTCTGCATAGACAGAAATTTAAATTTTATTCTTAGGTTCATTTATTCATTTATTAAACAGAGATAAATTAAAAATAAGACCTAACCTTAAAAACTGTTAGCAAACTAGCAGAGATAAAGCATGTACCCAAATAACTATAAACCCTGTAACAAGTGGATGTATCAGATGCAGTCTCTGCTACATCCTGCATCATGGCCCTGGGCAAGCTGCTTAACCTCTCTGAGCCTTTGTTTTCTCATTTATAAAATAGGAATAATGATGGGACTCTCCCTACTTGCTTATAGGACTGTAATATTCACTGAGATGTTACACATTTAAAAAGTTTGCAGTCTGTTAAGCACTCTGTAAATGTTGTTGTTTGTGGTTGTAATTTATATAGAAATGAAAGCATAGTCACCAGAAGGGCTAAAAAAAATGCTGACAATAATAGTGCTGACAAGGATGTGGAGCTACTGGAACTCTCTTACATTGCTGGTATAATCACTTTAGAAAAAACCTAAACACTCAAATACCCTGTGATCCAGTAATTCTGTTCCTGAGATGAGAAATGAGTTCCTGTGTCCAACAAAAGACATGTACAAAATATCCATAGAAGCCTTAACTGTAATAGCAAAACACTGAGAAGTGTCCATTTATAATAGAATGGTTGAATAAACTGTGGTATAGTCTTATGATGGAATACTACTCTGCAATAAAAGAAGGACATACAACTGATTTGCATGACCTGGATGAATCTCAGAGATGTGATGTTGGGTGAAAGAAGCCAGATGCAAAAGAGTGCATCTTCTATGGCTCCATTTATATGAAATTAAAAAAAAAAAAAGGCAGTCTTAGAATAGAGATTACCCTTTGAAGGGGATTTTGACTGGAACGGGGCACAAAGAAATTTCTTGGATGCTGGAAGTGTTCTATATCTTGACCCAAGTGGATGATTACAAGGGTGATAAATTCATCAAGTTAAAGATTTATGCATTTTAATGTAAATTATACTCTAATTCAAAACAAGTGATAAGAGTGCCAAAAAGAGTACAGTCTAAATGCTAAAGTAGATCAGAAAAGGGATAATGTTTCTACTTGGGAGAATCAATGAAGGTCTTGGAAGAAGTGATATTTGACCCAATGTAGGCTTTGAATAAAGTGAAAGATGAGTCAGAGCTTTCCAGATTTAGGGAACAGAGTTGGAAAAGGCACAGATGTGGGAACTCATGGTACTTTTAGAGTGAATGATGAGTAGGTCAGTTGGAATGGCTCTTGGGATACATGGATGAAGTTGTGAGGAATGGTAGGTTGACATCAAGTTGTAGAGGGCTTTATTTTGTACTATAGACAATGATGCCACAGAATCCTTTTGAGTGGAACTATGATCAGAGCTTCAGGAAGACTGGGTAATAAATTATAGAGAGGAGAGAGGGAAACTCAGAAAATCAGTCTGGAACCTTTTATAATATCCATGCATGTGGTTGTATGACCTGAAACAATATGGCAGCAGTGGGCAGGACATGGAAGGATGAGAGTTAACTTGATAAGTTCAAATGACTCGGCTTGAAATTATGTGGATATGTCAGATTGATAAGAGAAGGTCAAGGATGAACCCAAGTTTCATCACCCAAAGAGGCAAGTGAGAAGTTGGAAAGATAGGTTTGAAGTAATGGTGCTGAGTTTAATAGTGAATATCCTGGGTGAAATCTGGAGAGAGATTGAGAGAGGAAAGGTGGGAGATAGAGCGAGTGGAAGGAAGAGAAGGAGGATAGAAGGGTGAGAGGGAGGGAGGGAGAGAGACAGAAAAGAAGGGCTGAAGGAAGTGATTTTATGGAGTGGGAGGAAGGCTGAAGGAAGGAAGAAGCCACACAGCTGATGGAGGGAAGGAAATGGTTGTTGTTGAAAGAAGGAAGGAAAGAAGGAAGGAAGTTAGAATTGAGGTCCTAGATATTGGGGAAACACCAAAACTTGTCTGAATTCCCCCAATATCAGAGCCTTGAAACAAAAAATGGAGTGTAAGAAGTTTATCTAGGGGGTGATTTCATGAAACAGAGCCAATGAGTGGGGAGAGTGAGGGAGACAGGGAAGTGAGAAAAGCCATACAGGGCATATTATTGAGCTGGTTGCTGCTGTGGGAAGAGGGACGTAGAGGCAACATTCTTCTATGTGTTTTAGGTTTGGGTTCCTCTTTTTGCATTCTTTTAGAACATTTATGAAAATTCTTGCCCACATATAACAATTCTCTAACACTATTATGAATTTCCTCTTGAAAATTCCTCATATTTCTGGGAGTTTTGGGTGGAAAAGTGAGGCAGTTATCACTATCTTGATCCAATCTCTAGACTAGTTTTTTGTGGGTATTTCTGAGTATAATTGACATGCAGTGTTACATTAGCTCCAGATGTACAATATAGTGATTCCACAAGTATATGCATTATACTATATTCACCATAAGCAACCTCTAGAATAGTTTTTAAATGGAGAAATGCTATATGTTATTCCTGTATAGGTCTAAATATGTCTCCTATAGAAAATAAACTATCTCGTGGACAACCTAGAAGAAATGGATAAATTCCTAGAAACCTGTAACCTACCAAAACTGAAGCAGGAAGAAATAGAAAATTTGAAGAGACCAATTACCTGCAATGAAATTGAATCAGTAGTAAAAAAAAAAAAAAAAACTCCAAACAAATAAAATTCCATGACCAAATAGCTTCACAGGTGAATTTTACCAAACATTTAAAGAAGAGTTAATACCTATTCTTCTCAAACTTTTCCAAGAAATAGAAGAGGAAGGAAAATTTCCGAATTCATTCTATTAGACCAGCATTGCCCTGGTACCGAAACCAGATAAAGACACAACAACAAAAAAAAGAGAACTACAGGCCACTATTTCTCATGAACATAGATGCAAAAAACCTCAGCAAAATGTTATCAGACTGAATCCAACAATACATTAAAAAAATTATTCATCATGATCAAGTGGGATTTATTCTTGGGTTACAAAGGTGATTCAATATTTGCAAATTAATCAATGTGATACATCACATCAGTAAGAGAAAGGATAGAAACTATATGATCATTTCAGTAGATGCAAAAAAAGCATTTGACAAAGCACAATATCCATTGATAAAAATCCTTAACAAAGTAGGCTTAGAGGAAACATACCTCAACCTTATATGAAAAACACAGCTAACATCATACTCCGTGGGGAAGAACTGAGTGCCTCATGAGATCAGGAACAAGACAAAGATGTTCACTCTCACCACTTTCATTCAACATAGTACTGGCAGTCTTAGCCACAGCCATCAGACAAAAAAAAAATAAAAAAGAAAAAGGAAATGACATCCATGTTGTTAAGGAAGAAATAAAACTTTCACTATTTGCAGTTAACATGATACTATATTTAGAATACCCAAAAGATTCTACTAGAAACTGCTA